CCTCGGAACTTACAAGGTAAGTACGTGTCATGTTTCATAACATGCGACATGCGATAGAAGTGTGCATATATACATATATATATATATATACATACATATACATACATACATATACATACATACATACATATATATATATATGAGTTACATCATCACCCATCATCATGGATTGCGCTATTCGCGCGTTTCGTTTGAATATGCATCAATTCTACTTATAACATAACGACAATTTTTATTTAATATTTTTACCAGGGGCTTTATTTTTGTTTCCCAAACTTGCTTTACTGAATTATATTTTCTTCTTTTTTATTTTTGGAAACAACAGTCTCAGATGGGAAATGTGAAAAAAGCTGTTAAAGAGGCAATAGATCTCGGATATCGTCATATTGACACAGCTTTCTTTTATAACAATGAGAAAGAGATTGGGGAAGCAGTCCGTGAAAAAATCAAAGAAGGTAGCGTAACCAGGGAAGACCTGTTTATTACCACAAAGGTGAGATCAATAAATGGTTACGTATAAAAATATATCTAAAATTTTCAACATTTTAGTCACGTATTAACTTCTAAATAATTAATCCTTTATAAGAGACTCAACAAGTGTACAAATTTAACCCTAGAATCCATGATACATTTTTTTGACCTTCTAATCCATGACTGGGGGCAATATCGACCCCACGCTTTATTTGATCGTAAAACCGGTCCTACAGAAATAAAGGGCCTTTGAACCTACATGAATTTCTTCGTTTTTTAATAACGAAGAGAATGGTATACGGTAGATTTAATTTTACTCAAGTTTAGTTAGTGAAAAATCCATTTAAAGACTGAAAAACGCAGAAAATCAGCAAAAACCTCTTTTTTTAAACAAAAATTTGTATCTTTTTTTGTAATCAACCGATTTTAAAATTTCAAACGGGGTTTTAAAGAGGACACATTAGACTATTAGAAAAAAATTGTCATCGCTATGTTCTGTTCAAAAAGTATATTTATTTGGGACTATAAAGATGAAGAAATTCGCAAAGTTGAAATACGGAAAAAGTCGATGAAAAAACCATAAAAAATTGTATTTTAAGTATTATTTCATTTTTATTTGATACAAAATAGTAAAAAATATGAAAAAAATGAAACATTATATCGCCCAGCCATTTTCTGCGAAATGTCAATCTTCTTAGGCAACGGGATTTTTACCGACTAAATTGTGTGATATTTCGTCTTAAATAATATTTATGACTATTTATGCTCAGATTACGTAATAATACATGATATATATTGATTCTAGCGAAAAAATAAAATTAGCTTACCGTGACGAAACTCAAACGGCAAGTCACGACTGGGGTCGATATCGACCCCACGCCCGCTTTACGACTGTGCTACTTCACTGCTAGCGAACAACTAACGCTGCGCCCGACATAACCCTACTTTTAGAAAGTTGAAATGAATTATGGTTCAGGTCCTGAGTCGATAATGTCACTCGCTAGCTCAGGAGCGTAGTTCAAAGTTCGCCTGGGGTCGAAATCGACCCCAGTCATGGATTCTAGGGTTAAATTAAACATTCTGCCTCGTTTTAATTGTATTATTTGTTCCTTCGTAGCTATGGAACAATGTTCACAAAGAGGAACTTGTTGTCCCGGCCTGCAAAAAATCGTTGGCAAATCTCGGTTTAGAGTATGTGGATCTCTATTTAATTCACTGGCCATTCGCTTTCAAGGTAAGCATTAACATTAATATGAAACTGAGATTTTGTTTTTCATGGCTATACAAGCAATTCAAGAAATTGCACGGCAACGGTTTGACGGTTTCGAGATACATGTAACTGCACAGCGTTATCTAATAATAAAGATAAACATTTTTTATAAAAGGAATTAAGGAAAAAAGCTGTTAATCTATATAAAATGGAGTATGCTGTTATCGACGATATGTATAGTCGATTCTCAGTCATGTTGAGAATATGATTATTAACAGTAAATTCTTATTCGCGAAGGAACGACTATGAATATCGTCCTATGATTTTTCAATTCACAATATTTATCCGGATAATGTCTTCCAGGAGGGTAATGATTTGCTGCCTCAAGACGCTACTGGAAATCTTGCCGAATCGGATGTCGATTACTTGGAAACGTGGAGAGGAATGGAAGAGTGCGTTCGGCAAGGCTTAACTCGCAGCATTGGAATCAGCAACTTCAATTCCGAGCAAATTACCCGTTTACTTAAATCGGCCAAAATCGCACCAGTTAATAATCAAGTATGTGGTACCATTTAAATCCACAATTGTCGTATTTTCGATCACTTTTGCATTTTTGAGAAAATTAATTTATATTTTTTCGATGAATCAGTATTCTTGTATATTTTTATAAAGTTTAAAAACTCTTTACTAATAGATATGACCCATATTATATTAATGCATCAAAAAATTAATGACTTATTAATGTCAATAAATTCTGTTATAGATTGAAATTAATATAAACTTAAACCAGGAAAAATTAGTGGACTTTTGCAAGAAACACAATATCACGGTAACCGCTTACTCTCCCTTGGGACAACCTGGAAATTCATCGGGCATGGACAACAAATTAGATAGTCCCTTAATATTGCAACTTGCAAAAAAATACAAGAAGACGCCGGCGCAAATAGCACTTCGATATGTCGTATGTAACAAAAAAATTAACAATCGTTTTTTTCTAATTAAGAGAGATGTATACAATCGTACTTTACTTTTCTAGTATCAACACGGAGCTGCGCCGATACCTAAGTCTGTAACTACAAGTCG